GAGGAGAGAGTGTAGGTAGATGCTACGCAAGTCTACCGGCACTATAAACCCCTGCGTAAGTCACCGTCCCTGCTCCCATTGCTGCTGCAACTGTGGGGCACACGGTGGACATCATCGAAACCGATGGTCGAACTGTCATTCCGCCCGGGCCTTTCCAGTTCTTGTGGTTAAAAAGCCAAATGCTTTTATCCGTATTTGCACTGTCTTCTCCGCCAGTGTTAATGCCGCACTGATACCAAACTACTTTCTACTGTCAATGCCGCTGAATTAGTTACCTGGCTGAATGTGGCGCATGCTCTGCAAATTTGGATTTGACTGACGTGCAACCGCAGGTTAAATTCGCTCCAAAGTCGCGCGAATGTCCGAAGATCAACATCCGCCCTGGTCCGCTCCAATACACCGGGTCGCCGTTTGATGTCAAGACGGTTCCTACTCTGCCCCATCAAACGGTGAACGCGATGAACTCTGGCATTTGAGATACGGCTGGGTATCTGGACGACGCCGTCATCAAGTGTTACACGCCCGCTGAGCTCCAAGAGCGAGCTTGCGCAACGCTCAACAAATGCAAAAATATGGTTTCGCTCGAAGACGGACAAATGCTTATTATCCCTCGAGTAAACCACATGTCTTGGATTCATCTTTGACGCTACTGGCCACCGCTCAGATCCCGAAAGCATTCGTACTATCCATCGGGTGTCTGTACCCAGTGATGTACCACAGCTTCCATTCTTCCTTAGCCCCATCAGCTACAATAGCGTCTTCTTGTCATTGATGCATGCATTTCAATGTTCAGGCATTATCAAGATAAATATATAAAATAGGTTGATCAAGCAGTGAGAGAGGACACCATTGCTGTTTGTGAAGTTTTGGATAGGTGATGTTATTCAGAAAAAAACTGCAGACTACGAAATGATGGTAATCCAGTACGGGAATAGATGGAACAAGTACAGCGGGATTTTACACTCTTCATTCCATTTCATGTAGTTGAGACTCGGTGGACAATTTCTCACTGCCATTTGAAGAATAAAGTCGCTGGGTGGCTGAGAGCAGAGTCAGAGATATTAAAGACCATGAACTCCATCATTGAAAAAGACGAATTAGGTAAATTCGACGCCCGGAAATTGCGGAGGTTGTACTGAAAACCTAAAGTGAGTAATATATCGTTTAAGGAAAAATAGCTTGCGGAATCTTTATGTCCCTAGAGGACTTATTCCAGACTGCAATTGCGTTGACAGAAAAGAACTGACGATAGTTAGCTGTATGCACCAGAGTAGGACATGAAAGACATCCCGGTGACAATTGCGTCGAGGGTTATAATAATGCTCCAAAGTAGTTAACTTATTAAAAGTACGATAGTGTAAAAGTTCAAACAGTAGTAAGAGTCCCTTTTCGTTCGACGAAGCCACAAACGATCAAGACCCATGTGTCCGAAACCGTTTTAGCAAGTCAAATTTCGGTGTACCGAGATCACAACTGCTTTGGTAAACAGGTGCTGGACAAGTTCTGTTTTGTCCTCGCAGGAGCGCACAGAAGGCTAGATAAGAACATCAGATCAAGTCTGATGTAGAAGTGAGTCCTAAAGTGGCTAGTTTTAGAGTTCTGGAGGAAGAATCCAGTCGTTCTGTGCGCCCTAAGGACAATAAGGATTCCGTGCCCTGAAAGATTGGGGCTCGTGGAGTGTGATATACCCATGTCCCTAATAATTCTTGGTATATTTTTGTCGTGACCACCAGTACACGGTTAAGGTTGATGACTGTTGCCAACCGACATAACTGTTCATTTGCGTCAAGAAATGGAAAGACGCCATGGGCAAAACTACCGGGCAAATGCCTGACGGTCGTTGCCCAATAGTTCGAGCATGCTGTCGCTATCTGCCAATTCGTATCGGGGGGTTACTTTCAAATCATCAACATACATAAAAGGCCCACTATTTTGAAATTAATCTGGTACATCATTTTTAAGAAGGCACAATAGGAGCAGGTCAAACACACTGACCTAAAAAGCACTTCTCCTCACGAACAAGGGGGCTGGAGAGAGGAGTAGAAATCTTCACACCCCGTTAGCGAGAGTTCAGATAAGAAGATATGGATTTCAGAAGTTCACAATCTATGCCGAACGAGGGAAGTTTGAAGAGGGGGACAGATTGGTCAACATGATCAAAAGCCTTGATAAAATTGAAAAAGTTTGTGCAGAGGGCGAAACCATTGTATCGAGACTGCAGAACGAGACCTAGGAAAGAAAGCTGGCAGGTGTGCCACGGCTGAGCATCGAGAAATCAATGATGAACCGCACGCAGCAAGCTATTCTTTGTTAATATTAACTGCCCTGCTATGGAGACCCGAGGAACATAAATATAAACAGGCTTATTCACTGACACTCTGCCTGTTTGCCAGAGGAAATTTAATCTATCCCATCCATTTTTCGGTCAACCCGTAGACGCTAATCTTACTCCCAGATAATAGGGGGTTTTCTTTGTCCAACCCATTGCCCCTACTAGACCTCCTATCAGTATTTACAAATGCAATCAAGGTATTAAGATTTTGTTGTTCTGACTTGCTGTGATGAGCGCGGATGATACTCGGTTGATTTTTACATGCAACATAGCTGAGACTATACGGGCGAAAATTTCTCGCCGAACATCTTAATCTTAGTCTGGTTGGGGGGGGGGAGGCAAGTTGTTCACTTTTATACATTTCGTCACGTGAACGAACTGGGATTTTAAGGGTTCGTCTCGCCAACCTAGTAACGCAGTAGCAGCATTGGATTTGTTGATTGGACAATCATTTTCCGAGGACCGTGTCGAGTTGCGGCCGTTCTGCTACTTCCAGATGACGTATGTCAGGTCTTGATGTTAAACCCAAAGGGGAGCTGTAAATAAGGGGAAAGCATAAACGTTGAGAACCAAGTCCTTGCGGAGAAGGAGACTACACTACACAAAGCATGACAAACACTGGTTCATGATTTTTGATCACTTGAGTTAACTGAGCAGGTTTTGCGACTTCTGTCCTCTTATCCTGCGCGTTTCCCAAGATCTAATTGCCTGTCATTTTGCTTTAGTCCCCTAAGTTTTTTATTTATCGTTATGGAAGCTGCTATTAAATGGTTGCGCATGAACAGTCTATCTAAATTTTTCATATTTCTATAAATAGACATGTGAACCACCCATATCGTTGCATCGCTTCTGGCTGCGTATTGAATGCTTCCCATTCAGATATTATAGTGAAAGTTGCAGAAGACTCGTTTACTTAAAGAGTGTTCAGCCAAGTCCAGAGCAAACGCCTGACGTGTACTTGGGCATGACTGATATACGAGGAAGAACTTCGCCGAATTAAGCCTACTTACGTTAAGTTAGTAGCGAGTCTCGCATAACAAACTAACTCCGACTACTTATCACATCCCTACCGCCCAGACGTCCCAATAATCTTCGTCCCTCATAATGGAACTCAAGTCATCTGTCAGGTTACGAGACATACTCGTTCCGTTGCGCCTTGGGATTTAATGTGGAGTCCTCGCAGACAGTCGCATAGCGACCATGAATATATACCGTAATGAGACCCGACAAAGACAGGGGAAACTGGGATAGCCAGTCCTGCCTTCTTAACCGTCGTCAACCAACCTAACCAAACACACGTTATGCCGCACCTAGGTCTTGAACCCGCGTTCCTTGGTAGTCGGGCGTTACTAAGTTCAACGCCACCGGCCCATCGTTCTGTCGGCTACGATGGGGAATATTAACCTATGTTGGAAGTGCGTTCACTAGAAATGGCAATTCCAGTGTCTCTTTAGTTTCTTTTCGTGAGGTTTATGGGGGAGGTTATTGCGGTATTGCCAGAAAACCGCCCTACTGACTTTTCTGCTTTAAGTTCATCTCAGAAAAATCTCACTGACACATTTTACTGTTTTTTTTCTGTTTCCTTCTGATATTTCAAGATCTATTCAAACCCACATTTTCAAGAAGGCTTTGATTGTCCCACGTGCGTTGTTGGTTTCGGCATCAGAAATGATTACAATGCTTTGCTGCGTCGATAAAATAAGCAGCAGGCATTGTATACGGTTTTACAATGGGAAGCTGTGCGACTTCATTGATACGTTTTTCGGTCGCGCATTGCGTGCAAGATCACTAGGGCGCAGTCATTGGCTCCTCACGCACTAAGCCGAGCAGTGCGGCGCGGGTCCAATGCGCTTAAACAAACACCGACAATTACGTGAAATTATTGCTATTGTCCACTTCCAAGGTTGTGTTATGACCACTTTTAATGTTCCTATTCAAACAATACCAATTCCCACCAAATTGTAATTACTGATGACCCAGCAGTTGATTTCAGTGCAGTGTTGCGATTAGTCAATCTAACACAAATCACTTCGAGAGTAATGTCCGTGGAGAAAACACTTCTTTTCGGAATAATATTCAAAAAACGTGTCCTTATTCGAAGTACAAAACGGAGTAAATTAACACAGGCAACTAGAGGGGGATGGGCATTTGGAAGATTTTTCTGCTGTTCTCGGCCAAAAGGGACGTCTTCCTTAGACCATAGCATTCTTTGTGGTCTATTTGGATTGACCGCTCTTTTATGTTGAGCTCCCCTTCCATGGCATTCCGTGTCTTGGTCAGGCGTGTGAGCTGGAGCTCCATTTCCCTGATGGTTCGCTGAAGATCCTCCACAAATTTTTGCAGCTCGAAGGCCTCGCGATTCAGTCTGTACGGAAAAAAGTAAAATTGGGAACGGAAATAATTAAATCAGCAGCATATTTGATTCCGCATGCGTAATCCTAAAATACTGCGTAAACCGTGTAACGGTCCTTGTCCGGGCGGCTGATGCAACTTTGCGCCTCGTGCGTGACTGAACTCTCTTACCTGTGGCCGTCTAGTTTTCAGCTAATCATAACTATCCAAATCGGCCGGTCAGCTTTAGGGCCGATTCAGACATGCACTCGCTCAAGGCACTGTGACGTATGCCGCCCCGCCACCCCAGGTTCATGGTCTGGCGGCACCGGATGTGTGCCTTCCGCCAGCTGCCAACCCCCCATGCAATCATTCTGAACAGAATACTACAGTCCAACCGTCGTCGTTGTCGACGGTGCCCGATGTTTGTTCCACAGCAGGGTAGACACAGGGACAGCGAGTTGCGCGTGAAGTACTTGTGATTTGTGACAAACTTCCACTGTATCTATCACACACTCTCTCATCCCCGCCGCCTGTTGGACCCGGTATCAAGACAGAGCCAGAAAGACCATAGGCAGGTTCGGGCGCAGGTGCCCGGCTCAGCGCTAACTTTTGGCTTGACGTACCACCACGTCTCCCCTGTAGGCGCATTTGTATTCGACGCGCAGCCCAATAACGCGTCACGTGCCCTGATCTGGTCGCCGTGTTGGTCCAACACACCTACCCCGTGGCCGATTGGAGGGTGGGGGGCGGGTATAGAATACAATAATCTATGGTAGAGGGGCGCCCACCGATCGTTCTTACGGAACTCACTCGTTCCGTTGTGTCTTACGGGTTCTCTCTCGAGCTCCACCAGCAGCCACACAGCGGCGCATGCTATAGTCAGAATGGTATTACCGACAAAGACAATGGAGACTGGAATGACCATTTCTGGCTTATTAGCCGTCGTCCGCCAGTCATACCCAACCCCGGGGTGTGGATCACCCAAGGCTCGAGCTCGCGACCTGTTAGTTAAAAGTCCACGCCTCTAACGACTGGGCCACGAGCCCGTTGCCCTGTCGGTTTTCGATCGGGAATATACAGTGGTAAGGGACGCTAACCGATCGTTCTTACGGAACTCACTCGTTCCATTGTGCCTTACGGGCTCTCTCTCGAGCTCAATCAGCAGCCGCACAGGGTTGGGTATGACGGGCTGACGACAGCTAATAAGCCAGAAATGACCATTCCGGTCTCCCTTGTCTTTGTCGGTAATACCACTATAATCTATCTGCTGACGTCCGGCTTCTGTTCGGGATCGTGCCTGAAGGTCGTGGTGGCTAGGGCCTGCCCACGACCTTACATAGCTGTCGCGACAACTGACATAAAACTATGATCCTCACATCTTAACGTTGTCTTAGCAATGCTGTCATCCGTCGAATGATTCTCAACGAGGACAGCTTAACTGGTCCCTTCAGCTAGCCAACTCTTAACCCCAACTCAACAAATCCCGCAGGATGAGTCAGGTTTAAGCAAGTTTAGAGATGATCCTTTTACAACTGGCTTGTTTGACGCAAAACGGTGCATGTCTTCTTATAACCTATTCCCTTTTTAGCACGGTGGTCCGGATAACATCAATGTATCGGGAGTTCATTCGGTAAGATGTGGTTTGGTAGCCCCGCCTGATGAACACAATACTGTTGGGGTTGGGGTTAATGATTATGGCTAGGGGTTAGGGGTAAAGGTTAGGGTTAGGGTTGGGGTCTAGGACTAGGGGTTGTAATTATGGGCTAGGGTTAGGGTTAGTGGTTAGGGCAACTATTTCTCAAACATTGAAAGTACAACTATGCACTCCCAATAGCTTTTCTTTTGCATAAAACTACTGGACTTCGTCGCCCGTGCTTTCTCCGGCTCCACCTGTAAAAACCCCTATTACCACCGTCCCGTATTGGAGGTGACTGGGGTTTGCTTACTTCGGGTGGAGCTACATAATCACATCCGACCAAATTTTGATTAATATTTCATGTGATGGCGCATCCACTGTGTAAGCGGGAATTAGGGTTAGGGTGTTAGGGTTAGAGTTTAGGGTTAGGGTTAGAGGTTAGGACAACTATTTCTCAACCACTCAAAATACTACAACGCATTCCCAATAGATTTTATTTTGCATACAACTACTTGACCTTGTCACCTGTGCGTTCCCCGTCCCCACCTTCAAAAACCCCTATTACCACCGGTTCCTTATAAGAGGGGACTGAGGTTTGTTTACTTCAGGTGGGGCTACCAAATCACATCCGACCGTTCATTCTTGTACTTTCGGTATACCAGGATAGTTCACTGACTGGCAGAATTTCTGCCTCGGTTAGGACGTTAAGTATGGCTACTTTTTTGTAACATGTGAATTCTCCGCTAATCCAACCTACCAGAATTCTCTTAGACTGGAACACGCTCTTGACGCTTAGTTTGAGGAGGGCGTGAAAAAGACTCAAGTGAGTTTAGGATAACAGCGTGCATCGACGCTTGGAAAAACACGAGTGTAAATCTGCAGGCATTCTTTCGTATGGAAGGTACTGTTTAAGTGAGACTTTACCATTGACTAGTATGGAACATGACCGTGCATTAATTCGTAGTCAATATGATGATTTCTCGTTATGCAATGTCTCACTATTTTCCACATTTAAAAAATCATAACTCCATGCGTGTTTTTTCTCAGTAAATTTACGAGACTGTGTTAACTAAACCATAATAATACGAATTCCATTATTCTGCTTGAATTGCGTGAAATTAGACCCCCATTAAATTGCACCCTTTAAAGAAGGACGCCAGTCGGTTTGAAATCACCCAGTAATTCCTGCATACTTTAACAAAATAACCAGTCTTTCCATTTATTTGTTAGATATCTGAATTACAAGCTGTGTATGCTCGCAAAATCAAGGCCCAAAATCCCTTTGGGTTGGGGTTAAGGCTAGGATAAGGATTTGGCTTTAGTTGTCGTTATGTTTATAATTACGTTAAGGATTAGGTTTAATTTTGAGGTTACGGTTCGGTTTACCGTTAGGTTTGGGGCATTGTTGCCCCGTGTGTTTTGTCATCCAGGTCTGTTGCGGGGGTTCTAGGCTTCCTTCAACCTCGCGGCAGATTTGTCATATATCAGGTCGCCTTTCCCGTTTCAGCCTCGGCTACTTTCCCCACTAACGATTTCAGCTTCCCCCTTCGGCTTATTTTCCTTTCAATGCCCACATTGCGCTTACACTTGGAACCGGGACAGCGTAACCGGTCACTGTGCGACCCTTCGCGATATCGATGGATTAGAACTTAGGGGTTAAAAGAAATCGTCTCCGTTTTCTGTCCTGCCACCAGGGTTCACCCACAAACTGATGTCGAAGACATCGGAAGAGGTAGCGGCTTATTTGCCAAAAATGCTCGCGTGCTCTTTCAAATCTTGCCTTTGTAAGAAGTATAGAGCCCCGGATAACATAAGACAGGTTGCATTAAAAGTGCCTAAAAGTTAGACACATGTTAAAGTTTCCGCAAACTGTAATCTCACGAAAATGATTCCAATTTTGACTTACGTGCTCATCGGAGAATCATAGCAAGCTTCCATATTCTGGCGACGATTTCTTTCATTGATCCTGGTTTCGCACAGCTTCTGATAAGCGCTTTTATCTTTCAAGGTCAGTTTCAACGAAGCGAGAGTGTTTTGATGTTTCGCCATTTCATCGTCCAACTGAAAGTTTAAACAAGGAATAGGCGTGTGTTGAAACAACAGTATATTCCTTACAGTAGGCAGACTTGCAGACGCATTTGGATTAACGTCCATAGGCGCGAAATCTGGCCAAACAGACGCCAGAACATTGATGTTTTCTTATCGTGTATCTTTGTAAAAAGCTGGAACTTAAGCATTTTTCAAGTGAGCGTTCCACCAAAGTATTTCCTTCCGATGTGTCGTCACCGCATATTGCCTCTCGGCTGCTTTATTTACGTCCAAGTTATTTCGTGTTTACTTACTGCTGAAAAGATATAACGTTCTCGGTTTGTAAATGTTTTCCGAGTTTTTACTATCTATGTCATGACATACGTAATTTAAGCGACGACAAGCAGGAAACCAATTGAATTGTCGAACTGTTCTGCCAAATAAAAAGCATCACATGAGCAGTAGTTTGACATGCAGCGGCGACCTGACATACTCCTTTATTTTTCTTACGATCGGAAGAGTATTTTATCCCTAATGGAAGCAAATGTTTGAGTTCCAGGGGTCTGCATGAGAAAGAGGGAAAAAGACTGATCTAACACCAAAAGGATTTGAAAATTTTTCTGTGCTATCGAACTCGTACAGGGGTACTTCGTCAGCGATGACAGCAGCGGCAGAACACTCAACATTTGTAGGAGGGTGTTGGCCACTCAACGATCGGTGGTGCAGGTCTGGAGGTGACTGCGCAGGGCCCTGTACGTCGGCACCGGATCGATAAATCGATTGACCAGCTTCTCATCCGAGGCCCAGACCTCCATTAATTCTCTGCTTGTCTTGCTACTGGCGTAAGCGACTATCTTGGCGGCTGCGGGCTTGAACTTACCACCAATTTCAAAGGTGTGGACAGCCACTTGGTATACCTTGCGGCCCCATCCCAGAGCCAGCTTGCTCTCATGTATGCGCGATCTGAGCACGCGTTCTGTCTGACCCGTGTATTTTCAACGACAGGCAAAGCATGAGATGTGATAAACTACGCCGACCGCACCTTGGAGCTAAATATATTCTTGGATATCATGTTTTGAACATACTATGGAAAAGGGGAGCTCATAGGAGCGAAGGACAAGTGTCATTAGGCAGACCCGAACAATCGATCTGCCTAGTTCACATCGTACGTTTTAGCTTTGGGACATCCGGGCGACTGGCTTGATGATCTGACGAATGATCGTGATATAGGGATTCTGATTGGCAAAAAGTGGGCTATTAAAGAAGGAGACACGATCGCCGGGACAAGAGCATTATTAGCCTGACGTTTCGGATTCCTACTCGAATCCATCATCAGAGACAAAAGAGCAGAAACGGGTGGTTGTTGCACAAGGGGCTGCGGTATTTATAGGATGCAGTAGCCATGCTACCGCATACCTATGAACGTTCACGGCTCCCCCCTTCATCCGGGATTGTCGCACTTGGTGTGATCATTGCTTGATGGCCGACATTCGAGTCGATAATTGCTGCAATTTCATCACGTGCGTTGGATGTTGGCGTGATGATTGCTTGACCATCTGACGCATCCCAACACCGGGGTCGATGCGTCAGATGCTAACAAGCCTGATATGCGAAGATGTATACGTCAAGGACACGACACAGTTAACACTAGAAACCGTGTCAGGATATTTCCCTGATAAGAACACACACGGCTAGCTGTGGAGAACACATTTGGGAGGCACTCACTAAGTAAGTAGTGTATACTTCTCCAGTAATAATTCACTGTTCATATAACACCAGTCTGCCCCCGAAACTGACGGTGATGGTTTTCCTTATATCGATTGCGCAGGAAATTACGTCGAAATTACGTCTTCCTCCTATACAAATTTCAGAAAGTTGACTTGGTTGGGTTAACAAGGAGTTGCATTGTGTTCACTATGACTGACATTTTTACTCAAGCTATTGATATTTTCGAACTACTTACAATGCCTCCCAGACCATATATCAATATATCTTGGTATTACTTCGCAAGATAGTCAGTATTACAACTCCACCTAAGCAATCCTTCTTAGTCTGGGACTTATTCCGGAGTTTCTGTTAACATTCCATTGGACTGGTCACAGACTGTATCCACCTATCTTCCGGAAGTAGTATAGACAAATGACAAAAGGCCTCAGTAGGGGTGCTTCATCCCCAGGAATCATTTAATGAATGAGAGAAAAACGTTTACCGGCTCTGCTTGGGTGTGCAAAAAAGACATTGGAAAGTCAAATTGGCAAACACGTGTTTTCGGTACTTCTTCGTCAAGTCAATACAGTTACATGAAGGCATAAAAATGTACTCAATTAACAGTGTTTATAGGTCTCTCAAGGGCTATTAAGTCATTAGCACTCATCTTCCCCACGTCGCCTGCACGGCGAGATTGGCGGCGTTAAATTCTGGAGAGATCGGGTTTAAGGTTAGGGCTAAGGTCAGGGTTAGGCTTATGATAAGGCTTAGGGTTAGGTGGCCTAGGGTCAAAGTTTGGACACGAGAATCTGCGGCCTCCTGCAAATTAGCGCGAAACCAACTGTAGTACTTAGGGGGAGGCTTCATACCCCCATACCCGGTCGAATTTCCTCTCAAAAAGGAAACCTGTTGAGCAAACTTTTAAGCATGTGTTCCTTTTTGAAAATATTAATTTGTATCTCTTGAGTTTTTGTCGTTACGACTTTCACATTCTACGCCATCTGAATCCTCCTCTCCTCCTCCCCCTCCTCCTCCCTCCCTCTCTCTCTCTCTCTCTCTCTCTCTCTTTCTCTCTCTCTCTCTCTCTCTCTCTCTCTCTCTCTGGGAAGTCATTTGTTGGTACTTATCATGACAAAACTGTAGGAATGGCTGACGGACAAAACAGAAGAAGCCAAACAACGTTTCAAAGTGGGTCAAATAGGATCATCGGTTACCACTATGGCAAAAAACAACACACGAACAGTCCGTTTTGCTTTAGGATGTGGGTAACTACTGAGGACAAGTAGGTCGGAAATGGTCACTTCGGCCGCCCTCATCCTTGTCGGTAATTCGTCCAAAAGCGACTTGCGTCTGCGGTAGGTAGGTGGCCGAAAGCCCGCAGGAACCCCATACAGCAAGGATGGATCCCTAGAGTGTACTGGCGGAAGACCTCGCAACTCCAGAGCATATGCCTACCTTCGAGGTCGCCGGAGTCTGGGCGGTGGGCTGAACGGACCCCGGTGGCGACATTCTGGACCTGGTTCTCCTACCTTCTGGCTGTTCACACCCCCTCCCCCCTCCACCAGCGGCATGTTCTCCAAGTAGTCAACTGACGCAATGGAAACGGAGGCGTCGACGCCGATGAAGAACGGACACCTTCCACCGCCTCCAGCGGCGGCCAGTTCTCCCAATGTCCCTATTCCTCCTCCAACCTCCAACCTGCCCTAAGAGGCGTACCACGTCGGGAGGGGGGGAGGGGACGGATCACTTAGACCGCAGGGTTATCCTCACCGTCTCACACTCCCCACGCCTCTATCCCGCCCTAATCGCTGGCGAACTGCTGCAATGGACAAAGTCGCACTTGCGTCGAATTAGTGTGGGCACTGCAGACGATGGAGGCTCATGTGTGCCCAGGAGGGCCCAGGAGGCTGTTTGTTTCGTCGGGGACGTGCGGGTCTTTATATTTCAGACCAAAATTTGTTCGCTAGACATGCCATGAGAGCCCTTCACCTTACTGGTTGTTCGAAATCCTGTCCCATTTCTCGACTGATGTTAATTTGACCGTCAGCTAAAGTCGCAAGGCCATAAGACAACGAGTTTACTAACCGTCGAAGTGATTTTGCGAAACTTTCAAGCTAAAATAACTGAAAGCCTGCATACTTCTGATGGTAACTATCGCCTATGGGGTAGGCTATAATAAAGTAAGCACACAATACTTCCTCCGGCCGTCGTAAATCCTTCGTCATTCCGTAGCCTGCCTTGCAGAATGCGCTGGTTTTAATTGCCTAGGGGACATTCATGCTGCGGTAAAATGCAATGAAAAATACGGCGAGGATCGAATATGTAGCTCCACTGAGAAAATCGACTGTAGTTACTACTGCAATACAGGAAGGATGTTAGTAGGGGTTATATGAATGGGGCAGATAAAGAGTGTTATTAATGACAACTGCAGAGGGAGTTGAGAAGGCTCACATTTTTTGCCAAACGTTCGTTTTATTACCCCACCGAAATGCCGAATCAGACCGTGCAACTTGAAAAGTGCGAATTATGGACACATGAACGGGTGGGAAACAGGTAATCCAAGGTTATGGCCTAACGATGGCCGGATTAGGTAAGACGATATGCGGCAGTCAGACTCAGCCCTCACCTAATCATAGCCTTAAACATAACCCCTTTCTCTCTGACCGCAAACCTAACTCTGATATAGTATACCTACTTAAATGAAACAAGCAGACATGCACAGAAATAAAAATCGGAGACTGCATATTCAGTCGCTGTAAAAATGATTCACTAGTTTTCCAGTTAAATATTAAAAGAGCATTGTAAAACTCAACTGTTCTAATGGCTTTTCGCAACCGGTTCCTGGTTTCAACGAGATTCTCCACATTCAGCCTGAGCGAACTATTGACGTTTACGAAGTTTGTATGAATTGCTGTGCCGGCGTTGTTGAAGAGAATGTGGATGTTCGCGCAGTCTTTCTCCGATTCCTGCCGTCTCTTCCGAGCTTGTCCCAGGAGGTGTCGCGTGTGCTGAATCCATGTAGTGGAATCGCAGACCCTGAAATGAAGATATAAAACGGAACCTGGTAATGATTTAACCAGAAACATATCATGTAATCTCGGATGATAATCGTCTGCTTGAGCCAAACTCAGTAGGGGACTACAAAGGACTACATTCTACTAGAAATAAATGACAAACACAATCTAGTAGCTTTGTTGCGGTGCCCGGTGTCCTTCGGTAATATGTAATTTTGTTACCACCCTATACATTCAAACAGCGCTACAGAGCACGAATTCATGGGAGATTCTGGTTAATAAGAGCGCACTGGGATAAGATATGTTTGGGTTAACTTAATCTCATGCCCTTAAAAATAGATATAATGAAGACTGGGCGGAAATCGGAGTTGCATGGGCGGAAGCAATGAATGTAGCAAAAAGAAAACAGCAAAAAATGTGCGACGATGGAAAACTGATATAAGTACCATTTATTTGCTTGCATGCACCAAACTGCTAAACAACCTGCCCGACGCTTTATTAATGAGCCAATGAAAACGCCGAACTATTCCATACAGGCGGTACGCGATTGTCATTGGTTGCGACAACGGTTCCCCGAAAGCAAACCGTGTAGCGACCGAAGACGTTGAGAGTGGCAAACACGGAATAACAAGATGAAGAAAGTGTCTAATTATGCGATTCTTAAGACCGTGAAATGCCCGTTCATAAAGCACCATGTCTCTCCATTTACTAATGTTGTTTGTAAATTTTACAATAAAGTTCAAATCCACTGCAAAATTTCCGGAACCCCATATGGCCTCCTCTTCATAGCGCATAAAAATGTATGATCTTCCGTGCACGGAAAATATACAGCTTGTGGTTTGGAAACCCTGAATGCAATTGTAGCGGCAAGTTGGGTTCACAATTATTCGGGAATGGGAAAAGTTTTTAAAAACTGAATTATCCCTTTCTTCAAGCAGAAAATATGAAGAAGACGTAATTTTCTATCAAACGAGCAAAAGAATAGATATTCTTAGACATGTTTTATATGAAATATTATTCAATTTATAACGACATCGAAAATCAATGAGAAAAATTCCATACTGCATAAGAAGTCTTTTTTATAGTGTATAGTTTTGAAGGCGGCCGGAAAGAACTTAATTCAGAAGCTGGTATCCTGACGTAACTGAATTATCATATAATTATGCAGCACGATGTTTAATATTTCACTCTGACAACGAAACCTATCAAACAGAACTGAATTATTTTTTTGAACTGCTTTCCCAAAATGAACATCCCAGAGATTTTGAATACCGAGGCGTGAGACAAAAGGATTTAAAAGAAAAAGCTAAGTTACTAGATTGTTCCGATGAGGCGCCCAAATTAAAAGACTGGCGAACACTTCCGCACATTAAGAATGTGTCCAAAATAGTGGAAAGACATCTGGGGAAGCACTAACTGCACGTAGCTCACAAACCGACGACTACTCTCCGTAATCAGTTTGTACTGCCTAAAGGTAGAGTTGGTTATTTAGATAAGGAAGAAGTCACCTATAAGATACCATGCGACACCTGTAATGCGTATCACTGTGGTCAGACTGGGAAATCTGCCTCTACACGCATACAAGAACATCAGTCGGCGGTAAAAAGGAGTGACCACTTGTCCCAGGTTCCTATGCATACGCTAAAACTGGACACAAAGTTGCATGGAACAAGACTGGCATTGTACGTGTCTGCTCATCTAAGAAAGGCCGCAATTTTTTAGAGGTCACTCATTTTAGTAACTTATGCTTCAATCGACACATCGAGTTGGATGCTGTGCACAACAACCTCAAGGGAAAGCGGAAAAGGCGCTAGCCAATCAGAACATTATGCCGACCCACAGAAAAGGCTGACTGGCAGGAGTGACAGGACAATATCCATTTTAAGGCATATTTAAATTTTAACCGGGTTGCCCATTTGTTTCACGTCTAAGGAAGATTTGGGAAACTACGGTCGAAAATTTACGAAATTAGTTGTGTTGTATTTCGCAAAGGACTTATTTCTGTCGAATGATATATACGATGGAGAAAACGCGCGGCCCAGGTAATTGAATAGAAGAAGACGGGAAAGCGCCCGCTGGGACCAGTTGTTTATTTATCCGACGTTTCGAACTCTCATGCGAGCCCAGCGTCAAGGACTGTACAACTCATCGCATATTTAGCTCACCTCTGCCGGACATAGCCGGTGTGTTAGAAGAATTCGTTAGACTGATGAACGACTTTGGGATTGGTGTCACTCACAGACCTGAAGCAACAATACGCCGGCAACTCATGCACCCAAAGGACCCGATTTTAATCAATCAGAAATTGGGGTCATTTAGCGGATGGACTGCAATTGTGGTCAAGCCAATTATGTCGGTGAAACCGGCAAACAGGTACGCACGAGATTGCACGAGCAAGAGTTGACTGTGAGACGGAAGGATAAACTCGCCTTAGTAGCCGCCCACGCCTGATCGTCAGGGCACGGTTTCGACTTTCAGTGCGTAAGAATATTGGGCCAGTCGGACGACCGAGTTTCTCACCTGCTGCAGGAAGCGTGGCAGTCAACCGAGAACTCGATTAATCGACATATCGATCTGCTAATCGCCCATCAAACACTGCTTGAACAAATCAGCGACGCAGCTAGAGGTCATCTACGGCAGAGGTGAGCTAAATATGCCATGAGTTGTACAGTTGTTTCAGCCCTTGACGCTGGGCTCGCGTGAGAGTTCAAAACGTCGTATAAATAAACAGTTGGTCCCAGCTCTCGCCTTCCCGTCTTCAGGTAGTAATAAACAATAGTACAAGAAAGGACGAGATAAACCAGACAGGTGAGGTGAGGCGAACATGCTCGCTAAACAATCGGTGGGGAATGCAGCGCTGCGGGCAGCCGCAGATGAGGGCCGTGGTAGGCGCAGACGTGGAGTGAGCGACACGAGCGTTACGACGAAATTTGCGAGATGGGAGTCGGCAGTTGTTTAGAAGGGGCACTGGATATTCTCACCGACATGCGGTAACAACATCTCCGTCTAACGTCCGCGCCATGCGCCACTACATCCAAACAATCCAGTCCGCTTCATTGGGCGTTGCAACCGCGCTCACACATCAATTAGTGCATGGTAGGAAACCTGGAATCCGTAAAGTAGTCCACATCGTCCACTACTTATTTAAGCGATTGTAATGTCTAGGGGGCGAATTAGAACGGGACTGAAAACGCATAAAAAGTTCCTAATTACCAAATAATTGACAGTTCGCCCATCGTGACCGACGATGTCCACCATTTGTTCCACACCAGCGTGGCAGCAGGAACGGTGACTTGCGCGTGAATTAGTTTAAATTGAGTGTGGATTTGCACAGAATCTACCGCACTCTCTCCTCATCCTTCACCCAGGCCAGGTGTCAAGACAAGTTCAAGAAGACCGGAGGTGGGGGGGGGGGAGGTGGATGACGCGGCCGAGCTTGCACCTCGGAGTTCCACTCTCACCCTGGTCCACAAAACAATTGACCAAGTTTTTAAC